TGTTACTTTTTTAAGCAAAGGATTGTTACCATTGAACAAACTATCATTATTCTTCAAATTTTTAATAGTGTGGCTATTATAGTCTCTTATATAAGGTAATGGATAGTGTGACTATTATGGTCTCTCAGTTTCTAGGGTTACATTAGAATACTATATGAACTTTTAAAAAAAAGTTGTTATTTAGGATCTTAACTACCAACAATCCAACTCCCCTTATTACATAACCAACCACTCTCTTGAAACATGAAGAGTTCTCCATTGGCTAAGGCTACTGCAACCCCCTTGCACTCTTTTAAGTGGGCCAGCATTAACTCTTTCTCTCTTCCTCTTTATTTGAAGTTTAGATTATTTATATACCTCTATAAATGTTTATTATAAATGAAAGGTGGGATGGATGATATTTTAACAAAGAAGTGGAAAAAGCTTTGGGGCATAACATTAAATTTTGAAAGTTATTACTTGGGCAACAAGTAAGAATTCCATTTCTCAAACTATTATTCTTTCTTACAAAAACCCCGTTTTATACATATATTTCCAAAATAATTATGCAGACCATTTCATCCTAGAACCCTATCAAATCCCCCATTATAGCTCTAGACCTAGTCTAGTCTTAACTAGACCTAATTCTCATAAAAATGAACCATCTATTCTAGATTAATATTAAAAAAAATTCCTTGAAGAATATAATACTTTCTATCAATTGATAGTTAATTGTTGACCTATGACATGAGTCAATTTTATGTAATTTCACTCGCTTCTATTCATATTATTTTACCTTATTTATCATGGATTTACATTTGTGGAAGATTTTTGTTGGTAATTTTATAGGTTACAGGAGATCGTACGCAAATTTGAGAACAAAAAAAAAACAAAAAAATGGTCAGTATTGGCACGACCTCTCCTGCAATGGGTGTAACCACATCGCATGACCAGGCCAGAATTGGGCATAACCACGCCGCTCTTTCAAAAGCCCAACGTGCCCACGCACAGATCAAGTGTGACCTCACCGCCCAATCCAAATTACGAGTGTGCCCACACCAAATTTTGGTGTGAATGCGTTGATGAAGCAAGAAATATTTTTGAAAAGAATTTTCTTGTCAAATCTGAAATTTTGATTTTAAAAAGAGGTCTTGAGGAATCTTAAAGATGAGGAGCCATTGAGGGCGATTGGAGACAAAATTTGGAAGGATTTGGGAGCTTCTCTCTTAAGATTCTTACTTTCTTGAGGTTGAAACCCTAAGGGTTTTTTTCCCTTTTCTCTTTAATTTTTTATATTGATTCTGAGAGGAGATTGTATGAGAGAGAGATCTACTGCTATGAAAGATGGAATAAGTTATTTTGTAAGTTTTTTACTTTCAAGTTTCACTTGCAACAATGACTTCTCTATACTTGATTTCCATCATTCCTTCTAACATGAGTGACTAAGTTCTTTTTCACGTCGCTGAGATGAAAGGATTGTGGTTTTGTGATTTTCTTTGACAATTTTTTCCCCGTAACATTTTACTAAAGTTTGATGTCTATGTTGTTGTGTTAACCATCAGATTTCATTTACACTTGATATGATCAATAAGATGTTAATATATTTCGAGATTTACATCTTCTACCCATTGCATAGAGGAACGAAATGGTTAATCACAAAATTTGAATAAGAATAGACATATTATATCGGGATTTTGCAACCTAGAAGTGAATTTAAATTTATAGGTTCTAGTTTTCTTTTGACCTAACCATGGGCATAAGGAAAACGTTTTATCACTATTGACAACTATCACTTAGAGGAAAGTTAAAAAATGTCATAAATCATCACGATTCCTTATTCACAAAAGCGCAATCCTCATCTCACTTGAAGAATTGTAAGATTTATCTGTTTGTTCTTTCCTTTGTTTCTCGACCTCATGAATTTTATTTCTGTTTTCAAATAGAATTTTAGAAACTTCATTTCTTATGTTTGATTATGTTGAACTAGGTTGAGACGTTTAGTAAATTGAATATTTACCTTTCAGAATATTTCTTATCTCTTTTCCTCATGGAATCGAAATGTGGTATTCTTTAATCGTATTATTACTTAATGTGTATACTGACGTGATTGACTAGTTTACTTCGTGGTAAGTTTTTGGCCATCAACCTACCTCAAATTTTCAGATCGTTTTATACACTTTTGGGTTTAGCTTTTTCAAGCCTTGGCCACCCATAACATTTAGCATCCATTATTCCACCACTCTACTGATAAGATCCCAATAACATAGACATCATTTTACACATTTCCTATAATATTTTAAAGCATTGGAGAAATAATACCATAAAATAACCAATTTTGATTTCAAAACTTAGGAGGAGGAAGAGCACTTGAAGACTTGATGACCAATTATTAACTATAGCATTTGCATGTATTGGATTTGAAATTCATAAAAGATCATTCTATAAATTTTGGACAATTTTAACTTCATTTTATTTTATTTTATTTCCTACTATAATTCTTTTTGGTAAATTACAATTTGTGTGCAACTTACAAGCATTGTATAATTGCAAACTATTTGCTTTTCCAATCATTTAGCTAGCCAATCACGTTCATAACCTATCACTGCCCAAATTTCCTTAAGTGAT